TCCATTTATGCCTTTATTCTTCTGCAAACTTTTCCCTGCCTTACCAATAAAATAGTACTATATATGCTTCAACTTCGGAACCCTCCCACGCGCTGTGCTAAATCAAATTCATCTTACTTATAATAAGGACTGGGTGGACGTGTCAGGCGTGATTTTTAACTGCTGACCTCAAAACACTTTTCTTGGATCTGGAAAAGGGGTGTTTGAAGAAAGATGCCATGTAGAAGTTCCTTCTAATTAATGGCGCGGTGCATGATTTTTGAATTAAAATTAATCAGATTTTGACATGTCATTTGTAGGTCACTAGAGAAATCACTTCTTATTGGCAAGTATATTATCATGAAGTAACTTTAAAAATATATATTTATATTTAATACTCCATTCAAAATTTGATTTATAAGACATGAATTAATAATTATATTCGAATTTCATCCCTTCATCATGAAAAATAAATAATTTAGGTGAGTGAAATAATTTTGTTTAATTACATACAATTTATTATTTTCATTTTAAAAAATTAAGATATTTAAGAGAATGGATTAAAATGTCTTAAATATAAAGCAAGTGGAAAGAGAGTTCATGCATATCCTATTAAACTTTAACAATTAACACATACTCTTCATTGGATTAATGATAACTAAGTCAATAATTATCCTTTAATTTTAGTTGGAATGACGTCTTTTAGCCATAGTTAAGTAAATAGTGTAGATCAAAGTAGGATGCAAAACTTGAATATTCCAATGTTGAAATCACAAAAGTGACTGTCAATGTAGTACATGCCCATATAATTAGTACATATATTAAAGAAGTTAATTTAGTACATGTATCGATTGTACCGATCTAAATATTTCATTTTGATAATAAATCAAAACATAAAATTTAGTTTTTATTTCGATGTAAACTTCAATCAATATTAATCATATTATTATATTTTAATTTATTTTATTAATTTTAATATATATCATTGTATATAAAATTTTAGTATGTTAAACTAAATTTTGGTTTTTTTTATCTTATATTTTTATAATTACATCTTGAAATATAATGTGACAATTGAATTAACTGACATATTATATTTTAAAGCATGTATTTCATATAGTTATATCAATATGCATATAATTTAAGTATATTAATACGCATGAACCAACTTACCTCAGTGTTTAAAGGAATTGTTGTTGTTCCTAGAGGTTATGAGTTCGAGTACCAGCGACTACAGGGGTGATTGAATGTTCATTGTCAAATGGTTGAAAATACTTAGAACATGTATTACTTTGTAATCACCTTTAACTATATATATATATATACATATAAATTTAAAATGATACACTAAATCAAATTATTTTTAATTGTTATCCACTAAAATCTAAAGGCTTAAATATACAAAAAGTACCCAACTTATGCCCATTTTTCATTTAGTGTCTAACGTTTATTTCATTTCATTTTGGTATCTACGTTCATTTCGTTACTCAAAAGGGTCAAGCCGTGAAGGACCTAATTTCCTTCGTTAAGTAACACGTGTCACAATCTGATAGTTTAAATTTTTATATAATTAAAAAAATAAAATTATAATATATATATATATATATATATATATATATATTAAAAAAGAAAACACATAAATTGAAATAACCGAAAACTTTGAAAACCTTCATTTCAACCTCTAAACCCACGCCGCCCGCCGCCCTTTGCTGTTGACAAAGCTCCACTCGACCTCACCTCCCATGGAGACCAAAACCCCTATGAAATTGTGACTGATCAATGGTCGATCGACGGTGAATCGACGTTTTATACCCTGCGAATCCTAGGATGAAAATCGCAATCCCAATCGATTTCGACGGTCAATCGACGACAACTACGATGACTTATAACTAGGATGATGACAAGGACTACGTAGGCGGTGGATTAGTGTTAGGATTTGAGGATATTAGGGATTTTGAGGCTTTTTTGTAATTTAAAAGAAATAAGTTTTTTTATAAGTATAATAATATTTTTAATATTTTTTAAATAAATTTCAAAATTACGATATTGTGACACGCCACTTAACGGAGAAAATTAACGGTCCGTCACGGCTTGACCCATTTTGAGTAACGGAATGAAACATTAGGTACCAAACTGGAACGAAATAAACATTAATCACTAAACTAGAAAAACGTGCATAAATCGGGTACCTTTTGTATATTTAAGCCAAATCTAAATAACATAAAAATATAATATATGAATTTAATTACCCTCAAGTAACTTTGTCCCAGGTGTGCGTGTATAAGCAATTGTTTATAGGAGGTCCCGTAGAGTCCGAATACGAACAAATTGAAGAGCCATTGTCCTGAAAGCTCCATATTTGTGGGATCTCATTGTCGCAGTCGTCTTTCGGGTGAGTTCGTAATTGAGTTTCGACTTGAATAAATAGGTTAGAGTCGTCGTCGATCATTTTAAAAATATTTAGGTTGATCATACACCATCTTATCTGATCTATGTTTTAGCATAAATATGTCGGATTCGGGAGTTGGTTACAGTCAAGGAAGAAGTTAATTTAGTACATGTATCGATTGTACCGATCTAAATATTTCATTTTGATAATAAATCAAAACATAAAATTTAGTTTTAATTTCGATGTAAACTTCAATCGATATTAATCATATTATTATATTTTAATTTATTTTATTAATTTTAATATATATCATTGTATATAAAATTTTAGTATGTTAAACTAAATTTTGGTTTTTTTTATCTTATATTTTTATAATTACATCTTGAAATATAATGTGACAATTGAATTAACTGACATATTATATTTTAAAGCATGTATTTCATATAGTTATATCAATATGCATATAATTTAAGTATATTAATATACGCATGAACCAACTTACCTCAGTGTTTAAATGAATTGTTGTTGTTCCTAGAGGTTATGAGTTCGAGTACCAGCGACTACAAGGGTGATTGAATGTTCATTGTCAAATGGTTGAAAATACTTAGAACATGTATTACTTTTTAATCACCTTTAACATGTATTACTTTTTAATCACCTTTAATATATTATATATATATATATATATATATAATATAGATATATATATATATATATATATATATATATATATATATATATATATATATATATATATAAATTTAAAATGATACACTAAATCAGATTATTTTTAATTGTTATCCACTAAAATCTAAAGGCTTAAATATACAAAAAGTGCCCAACTTATGCCCATTTTTCAGTTTAGTGTCTAACGTTTATTTCATTTCATTTTGGTATCTAACGTTTCATTTCGTTACTCAAAATGGGTCAAGCCGTGAAGGACCGCTAATTTCCTTCGTTAAGCAACACATGTCACAATCTGATAGTTTTAAATTTTTATATAATTAAAAAAATAAAATTATATATATATATTAAAAAAGAAAACACATAAATTGAAATAACCCAAAACTTTGAAAACCTTCAGTTCAACCAATAAACCCACGCCGCCCGCTGCCCTTTGTTGTCGACGAAGCTCCACTCGACCTCACCTCCCACGGAGACCAAAACCCCTATGAAATTGTGACTGATCAATGGTCGATCGACGGTGAATCGACGTTTTATACCCTGCGAACCCTAGGATGAAAATCGCAATCCCAAGCGATTTCGACGGTCAATCGACGACAACTACGATGACTTATAATTAGGATGATGACAAGGACTACGTAGGCGGTGGATTAGTGTTAGGATTTGAGGATTTTAGGGATTTTGAGGCTTTTTTGTAATTTAAAAGAAATAAGTTTTTTTATAAGTATAATAATATTTTTAATATTTTTTTAAATAAATTTCAAAATTACAATATTGTGACACGCCACTTAACGGAGAAAATTAACGGTCCGTCACGGCTTGACCCATTTTGAGTAACGGAATGAAACATTAGATACCAAACTGGAACGAAATAAACATTAGTCACTAAACTGGAAAAACGTGCATAAGTCGGGTACCTTTTATATATTTAAGCCAAATCTAAATAACATAAAAATATAATATATGAATTTAATTACCCTCAAGTAACTTTGTCCCAAGTGTGCGTGTATAAGCAATTGTTTATAGGAGGTCCCGTAGAGTCCGAATACGAACAAATTGAAGAGCCATTGTCCTGAAAGCTCCAGATTTGTGGGATCTTATTGTCGCAATCGTCTTTCGGGTGAGTTCAGAATTGAGTTTCGATTTGAATAAATAGTTAGAGTCGTCGTTGATCATTTTAAAAATATTAAATAAAGAAAGCTTTTTTAAAAACCAAGTTTAAAGAAAAAAAATGAAAAACCATGAAAAAAATAACTTTTGAAGAAATTAAATAAAAAAATAAAAAAATGTCAAGGGAAAAAATAGAAAAAATAGAAAAAAAATTTATTCCGAAAAGAAAAAATTAAAATAAAAATATATTAAAGGATCAAATAGGAATGAATTAAAATTTGCATACCAAATTGATGCTAAAAATGGGCTGCAAGAGAAAAATAGAAAGTTAGGGGACCAATTTGTAAAATATAAGAAATGTAAACAGGGATTAAATTGAATAAATTGAAAATTTAGAGATAAAATGTAAACAGGTGACAAAATGAATTATACATCAAAACTTGAGGGACTGTAATAATAATTTAACTAATTGGTATTTGCACTCTAGTCTCTCACATATATATATATACCCAAAACAAAACAAAAAATAACATTTCAACCTCATTTCTAAAAAAACAACCCATTCTCTCAAATGCTCTCACCCAAGCTTCATCCGGCCAAGTTGCCGACCACCGTCCCATGGCCACTCGTCGTCCGCTTCGGCCACCGCCCACGGCGGCCGGAAAAATTCAAAACTCACCCAAATGTTCTCCCCAACATCTTAAAGTTAACCCCGAGCCCCGATTTCCCAACTCAGACCTCAAACAACGTAGATGTAAAGAAAACCGTTCGGGTTTTTACCTTTTCTGAGGAAAAGGTTTTGATGTTCCTTCACGACCGTCGTTCGTTTTGGTGAGAAATGGCCTCGGCTTTTTCTGTCTTTGTTGGTATTTGGGATTGTTTTTTTTGTTCGATTTGTATGTTGTTTTGTTTTTTTGATTGGTATTGTTTTTTTGGTTCGATTGATGCTTGGTTGCTTCCTGATTCTGTTGTGTTGTTTCATGATAGACTTGGTGGGTATTTATACCCCACCGTCGGTGGTTCATTTCCGGTAATCTCGGGATCGTTCCCAGTTATTTCGGGACGTTAGTGGACTGTTTGTGATTGTAGGTTATTTCGGGATAGGTCAATCCCGTTGGTGTGGCCGAAAAACTCGCTGGTCGTTTGGTGCGTGGCCGCCACGCGCGCTGTGCGACGCCCTTGAACCAAAGGTGAAACCCTAGTCCTATGTTGGGCCAGGCAGACAAGTTTGGGCCCTTGGATTTGGATCTAGACCCTAATTTTAGACCTAAAACAAAAAAAAAGGAAAAAAATAAGTAATAAATAAAAATAATATATAAAACTAAAAAATATTAATATATAATAAAAAACATTTTTAAAACTATATATTATATATGCTTTAAAAAAATGATTTTCAAAACCACATAATATATATTTTCAAAAATTGTTTTAAAACTATATAATATATATTTCCAAAAATATAATTATATAGTATACATTTTTAAAACTATATAATATATATATTTCCAAAAAACGTTTTCAACAATTTATATTATAATTTTTTAAAAATATTTTTAAAAACTTTATTATATTAATATATTTTAAATAAGCCCGGACGAAAATGAGTTTCTACACTCGTCAATATTGAAAATTTGCACCCTTTTTTCGTGCCAGATAGACTTGCTAATTAAAGTGGCAATCTATTCAGAACAGCATTTGAGCTAATCTTAGTCGATGAAGCTTCTAAACATCAGCAATTATTCTTTAAGCTTTTTCCCTTTTTCTTTTCGGTCGAGAATTTTTTTTATATATAAAGACATCTGTTTTAGGCAAAGCCAGAGATGAGTTGCATACGGTATCAAACTCAAACTGATACTCTATAAAAGCATATTCGTCCAGAAGGATTAGTCGCCAGAAACTGAAATAGACTAAAGATGTTCATAGTTCTGGTTAGATTGAAATCCAATCAAAGAATTTTTTTTTTTTTGGATAAGTTGAATTTTATTCATCCAAGTAAAAGTACATCATACAACAATCATCCCAAACAGGGAGTATAAACACCTATATACTACAAAAGAAATTCAGTCTATACTCCAATAAATACAAAGTCTAGAATTAACATAATCCAGTCTATTAATATTTTTATCTCTAAGTTTGATCTGCACAAGCTCCTTACAAAAGAATTTATTTTATTTGAATAAAATTGTTATAAAATGATAATTAACTGGTTCGAAATCAGCTAACAAATAGAAGTTCTACTTAGAAGTTGCAGGTATGCAGCAATGAATCGTACAACATTAGAAGCAGAAGAAAAGAACAGAACATGAATCTTTTAGATATCTTGGGTTTCATCCAAGAAACCCTCGCAGAGAATTGGCCAAAGAAAAAGGGAAATTAAAGAACAAAACCAAAAAGCAATTCAACATTCTCCTGTCTGCTTATAAATTTAAGTTCATTGGGCGAAATATTCGCCAACTTTTTACCCTGTTTAAAACAACATTCGACATTTTTCTGAGTTCAGAGTTCATATCAAACTATTGCCTCTCAAAAACAATGCCACAAGTAATCCGGGTGTAGGTGTTAAAGAACAGGCTACACAACAGCAGCCGAGAAGACGTTTTAGCCTAGTAAGATGTGTGGCCACTTGCTTCATAGCCCTTATTGTTCTTGTTGGTCTAGCCGTGTTGATCGCTTGGCTAGTCGTTAACCCAAAAAAGTTTGTTTACACACTTGAAAGTGGTTCAGTCCAGAATTTCAACCTAACCAACAACCATCTCAATGCCACATTCGATTTTGTTCTTAGGGCACATAACCCTAACAGAAGACTCTCTGTCTACTATGACCACATCGAGTCCACGGTGATATACGAAGACCAAACCATCGCATTCAACACGGTCGATCCCTTCTTCCAACCTCATAGGAATGTCAGTCGAGTCAAATCTAAACTGATGGCTCTAAATTTGGCGATGTCACTGTCAACATCTAAAGATCTCATGATTGAAAAAACGTCAAGGGAGATTCAAGTTGATGTTCATTTTAAGACAAGGATACGGGTCAAGGTTGGTATTTGGAAGTCCAATCATCGTACTCTAAGGATTGTTTGTTACTCGGTGATGGTACATTTAACTCGGTACAAACATTTTAACAAAGTACCATGTGAAACAGAACTTTAGTTCAGAGTGTTTTTATCTGTGTTCCCAATTCTCTTTTACATGTCTGAACTGGTGTCCTAGGGTTGCCATTTTATCACTTCCATGCTATTCTCTTTGTTTTCTTCTTTGATTATATGGTGTGAAAATTGATGTTCTCTTTTACCTGAACAAACAGGCCTCGGCCTAGTTTGTTGGTTTAGCCCATAACTTAAATGGGATGCCCTATCACTGACTTATGAGTTATGATTTCATTTGAGCCTTTTTAAAAAGTAATGTTATTTATTTATCCAAAAGAAAGTATGAAAGTAGGTAATGTTGCAGGTGGTGAAAGGAAGAAATGATCACATCAGGAACAATTCATTTAATTAAGAAAACAACCTGACCTTTGTTAGTAGTAAGTAAACATCATTTCAATCCATTACTTTTAAGATTAACTTTGACGCCAAGTGAGGAAAGTTTACTTGCAAAAATTGCAGTCCATACCAATTACATACACTCTTTAATAGCCTACACCTACAGATCCCCCAATCATTTATAGCATTGAAAGCTTCATTTAGTTTGATGTGTTGTTCCACCTAATCTCCCTAACCCTCCATTAAATGATCACTCGCTCATGGAAAACTCTTTTTCTTCATGGAGTCGGTAAAACAGTCCTAATAACCCTTTCAGCTACATTTTACTGACAAACAATAAAAAATCAGCGGTGGAAGACAAGATATGCTTCCTTTTCTGACAAAAGCATTGCCCCAAGGAAAAGGGTATGGAATATGGACTATGGTTTTTTTTGTGGGATATTTCCGTATTGGCCCCTCAATAAAGAATTTGGGGGGTTGGTTGGTTATTTTTTCCTGATTATGTATAGGCAAACGGTGTCCTACCATTATAAAACTGGATAGAAGTGATATTAAGTAAGGGCATGTGCCCTTAAAGCTGTCAATACTGATGACCGAACTTGAGTGCCTTTCTAACTAGACCCCTCCCGTTTCTGCATGTCATCTTGTTATGGAAACCAAGACACAAGGGCTAAACTAAAGTGCATGCATGGACATGGTCGATAATAGGAGAGTCTGAAAGACAGATAACCTAACGCTCATTAGAAAACTCGTCCTTTTTATCTCTTTGCCATTTGTTTGTCCGTTGTTGTAATTGTTTCACTGTTTCTCAACGTGAAATGAAATGAATTTAAGCCTAACCTTTCTTATAGTTATAGCTCAGTCCCATCTAATAATACCCAATTATGCAAACTCCTACATTTTTACAGCAATTTATTTAGCTTTTTGTCTCTTGTTTTCTATCCCATTTATATGTTTTATTTTCTTTATCGCTTTCCCATCTTTTCAAGGAAAAATCAGTCGTACTTTTTTAAGAATGTTTAGCATTGAACGGTTTTTGCTTAATATTTCTATTCAGTTTAAGACTGTCCATTTTACAGCTATGTGATATATATCATTTTCTCATTTTTGTTTGATTTGGATAATCAATAATGGCATCATATCTTGTTTTCTGATAAGCCTAAAACGATATTTTTTTAGGAATATTCCATATCTACCGAAATTGATGAAATGTTAACACGAGTGTAAAGACATTTATAATACCTTTAACTTGATATTAATGAACAGTTGACATGAATACGTTGCCATGGTTTTAAACCTATTTCTTTGAAACTGATATTTTTTTAAATGGACGATTATAAGGTAGTGTTTACTCAAAACTTTATTAACCAATTAACACTACTCATGCAGTTACTCAAATCCAAACTTCAAAGAAAAATATCATTTTTCTTTTATCATCGATGTTATTTAATGAATATAAATTTTAAAACAAAGGTTTTCCTTTGCAACCACTCCGTCAAACAATGTAGGTTAAACCTTTTTTTAACGATTATTTATTGTATTTTTATTTTATCTTCACGAATCAAATTCAATAAAAAGTAATATTTTAAAATCAATGTTCATGATGTATTATATTGTAAGAAAGTGTCACATTGCCAATAATTGAAAATGAAAACGTGGGACGGAACTAAGGGCATAAAGCCCTCAATAATATATATATATATATTATATTTATAGAGATATTTTTGCATATGTAGGGAATGAGGTTCCCACGTGACTATTGGGAAGGGGGTGAAGATTAGAATCATGTTGATGTAGGTGGAACATGGCAAACATATGATCTTTTCGGTCATTCGAGGACCATGCCTGCATTTTGCAAGTACGTAACGTGCCGTTAAGAAAGAGACAAGTCAAATCTGTTTGGTTTACCTTAAAAAAAGGGCATTACTTTTGGTCCAATATCTCTCACAATTCATTATTCAGTCGATGATGAAGAACTATACATTTAAAGAAATTTTAATCCATTATTTAGATAATTAGAGCCATCGTTTTATTATCTAAAAATGTATCATTTTATTTTCAAATGTCAGTTTTTGGGGCTTAATAGGTCGTCAATGGCTAATAACTTATTTATTAAATTTTAATTTATCAGTCAATTAATCTATAGTATAATAAACATATTAAAATAGATTGTTCGTTAACATTAAAATCCTCTATCCGATGCCTAAGCAGCTTCTTTCTCCTTTTTTGTTTACTTAAAAAAATATTTGATATAATGAGAAACCTAATTCGACTTTTATCATAAAAGTCGCCATGTGATTATCTACGGAGTGCATGCGCATGTAGTGAACTTATTATTTTAATTAATAAATAACTATTGCATTCTTTTGTTGAAATGAGATTGTAAAAATGTGTTATATACACTAATATTGCTTCTCAATCATATCCGAGTTTTTTTTTACAAAATAAGATAATATTTTAAATTATTATAGCTCATGATCATAATTTTAAGGATATGGGGCAAACTCATATTTTTTTAATAGAAAAACTGCAATTGGATTTTTTTAATGAAAGTTAAAATACAAATTGATTGTTATATTAGTTTATAACTTCAAAAAGTCAAAATACAATTTTATCATCATCAAATTATAATTTTATAATCTTTATGAGAGAATTATAAATTTGAGGTCTTATTATTTTATCGATGAAATGTAAAATCACTTAAAATTATGTTTTACAAACTCCCTCTATTGTAAATGTTATTTTTATTTATAAATAGTCCATTCAATATTAATTATGTTACGCCGTTACTAAATCTACTATGCTTTTCTTATCCACTTAAAATCTTACGCCATTGTTTGAATACATCAATTTTTTACAAATTTTATTACTACATATAATTTTACAAATTCACTTAATATACTATTTATATTGAAAGTGAAAATGACTTCTGTATCTCATTTTAATAATATATTAAGTTAAAATACTATACAATTATAGTTTTAAAATAGGGTAAACTACACTTTTAGTACATGAACTATTATTTTTGTTTCATATTGATATCCAAACTATATAATTTTTAAAATCGTACCTAACGTTTAGATTTCAATTTGGCACCCCACCGTTTAAAAAAAGAACAATTTAGGTGTCATTTTTTTTATTTTTTTTCAATGATAATGTGTCATTATCTTATGGTGACACATTGTTGAGAACATTTTGATATTTCGATATAACAAATTAAGTTAAATGAATTTTAAGATTTTCCAAAATGATTTTCTAAGTATATTCGATATAATTATTCGAATATCAAAACATTACTCCAAATATTTCAAAAATCATTTTTAATCCTTACTTAAGTGTAAAATTAAGTTTTAATCTTAAAACAATTTCAAAATAATCTTTACAAGTATTTCGAACCATTTCAAAGCCAAAAATTCCAGTTTGCTTAGAGGGAACCGATTCCCCCCCAAGGGGGTACCGATCCCCCCCTGAATGGTTTGGCTCCGAGATTTCCAGAATGCTCGGAGGGAACCGATTCCTCCATAGGGGGTACCGATTCCCCCTGTTCAACGGTCGAAATATTTGAATTTTACACTTAGGGAACCGATCCCCTATGAGGGGGAACCGATTCCCCCCACGCTCCAAGTATTTTTATTAAATGTTTTCACACTTAAACGGCTATATTATCTTCATTAATTATCCCCAACGTTCAGAAGTGATTCAAGGTGTATTTAAACAAGTTCTGAAGCCCTTGATCAATAAGAAATTATAGAGAAACAAGAGAGAAAGCATCAAACACCAAGTTTGTGCAAATCAAGCCAATCTTCCTTTCAATATTCATTTTGCTTTCAAGAACACCATTTGTGCTCATTTGTAATTATCTTTGAGTGTACTTTTCTTGTTCTAGAATTGTGCAAACATCTTACCTTGTGAGGTTTTCCTTGTAAGTTTGCAAATTTGTAATCTTCTCTTTGAGAAAGAGTGTTCTCAAGAATTGGGGTATATTCTTGAGGGTGTTGTAAGGTTATCTCTTTGGCCTCAAAAGAAAGAACAAATTAGTGAATTTGTTGGGAAATCCTTAGTGTGGATAGCTAAGGTAGTGGACGTAGACTTTGATTGAGAAAGTTGAACCACTCTAAATCGCTGTGCAATTACTTTCAATTTTTTGTAAAAGCTTCCACCAAATTTTTAATTGCCAATTCACCCCCCTCTTGGCAAAATCCGTCATTTGATTAACTCAACAATTGGCATCAGAGCCTAACTCATTTGAAGGTTTAATCGCCTCTTGAGTCGATTCGGGAAGAGTTATATCAATTATCAAAGTCATCAATGGCCTCCGCTTCAAACTTCGACTCCGGTCTCGATTCGATGCCCGTCAACAAGCCTCCTTTCTTCAATGGAGCTAACTATGCTTATTGGAAGAATAGAATGATGTACTTCATTCAAGCAAGTGACATGGGAGCATGGAATGCTGTAGAAGAAGGATACATCAAACCTCTCACTCATCCAAGGGTTGTGGAGTGAAGGAGAGACAAGATGTTCCAGCTCAACTCCAAAGCCATCCATATCATTTTTTGTGCTCTTGGACCAGATGAATACGAAAGAGTTTCATCATGTACAACCGCCAAAGAAATATGGGACAAACTTCAAGTCACTCATGAAGGTACCGATGAGGTAAAGAAATCTAAA